AAATTATTTTTTTTTAAATATACCTAACTAAATATAGACTGTGTTAACTCTATTTCCTTCCTTGCAAGACATAATGGTTAAAAGAATACGGACTCTGCCTTCTACTTATTTCATGAAAGACCCTGGAGCTCACAGAGTACTTTCAAAAGTGTTAGACAATTGTCAGGTAGTTTTGTTAGCATCATTTTTGCGGTTGTTATGAGTCAGCTCTCCATCCCAAGAAATGTACTACCAATGACTTCATGACAATGAGGGTTCAGATAGGAACAGGACATAAATTCAAACCAGATGGCCCTTAATGGTTTTTTCAAAATCAGAGACTTTAGGATTCTGACACATTCCCGAGACTCAACACTAGATTTCAGGGCTTCATCTGCTAGTCAGTCCAGCAATCCTTTCTCCTAAATTCCCTGTAACTAACTTGACCTCTCCTCACAGCGTTACCTTACAATTAAACCTTTTCTCAACTATTTAAAAAATGAAAACTAAGGGTGTCTCGTTCTAAGTCACATTTAGTTCTGACTGAAAACATTAGCAGCCCCTTTTGTAATTGAGGAAAACATACCTGCGGTGTCACTGGTTGTGACGTCAACTCCATGGAGAAGGATGGCATTCAAACACTCAAGGTTCCCCTTTGAGGCCACCACATGGAAGCTAAACAAAAAAGTATTGTTATGTCACGGGAATTACCAAACACCAACTTAAATGCAGCACTAATGCTAACTCTTTTAACAACATACATGTGCACACACATATACACATTTTAACAGCTCCATTAAAACATCTATATATTTAATAGAAGCAAAATCAAACCTATTCTATGCTACTTAAAACTAATTTTAAGTCAAACTTGCAAAGAAAGTCACTCCATTCTAGAAATCTCTCCATAAAACTCACACCAAAGTGCTGTCTTCAAGTGGCTGGAAGCTGAGGCCAACCTGTCCTTGGGTTTCTAAAGGTATAAACCTTAACGACATGAGTCTGTGTTCTCTCTCTCCTGAGAAGCAGCTGGGAGATTCAATTACCAACCTTTGTGTTGGCAGCTTGGCACATAATACATTAGACCAACACTATGCCATCAGTGTTCCCTGGAAATACCATCTTAGAACTAAGGGGATATTTCCCTGTTCAGCATTCTTACATAGTAAGTGCTATTTTTAATAATTTCATTTCAAAACTTATAGCTGTCAAATCAGTTTTGATTCCTATCAATACTTTATCAATTTCCAAAACTGTTTTTTCTGAACGTATATACAATTTTTTACTGTGATTTAAGTGAAAGTTTATAAAGCATATTGTTTTTTCACTCACTCATTCATGTACACTGTTACATAACATTAACTACAATGCCTACAGTGTCTGACTGTCCACTCCTACCATACTGTCTTTCCTTTCACTCGTATTAATAAACATTCACTATCAATTCATTTTCTACTCCCCCTTACCTCCTCCCTGAAATCACACTAGTATGATTTCTCTGTATGTAAACCGTTCTTTGGCTTTTTATAATACTGGTCTGAAAAAATATTTGTCCAAAGTGACTGACTCATTTCACTCAGTGTTATGACTTTTAGATTCATTCACGTTAAGTAATTTTTCCCAGATTCTTGATTGTCTTTTAACATCGTGATCCTTGACCACAGATCCTCTTTCTCATTCATTTGATGATGGACACTTTAGTTGTTTTTAACTCCTTGCTACTGTGAATACATGCTGAAATAAGCAACGATGTTGAAGTATCTGTTCTTGTCTCAGCTCTTTAGGTTATATGCCTAGTAATGGAATAGAAGCTGTGCTGCAATCCCAAAGGCACATGGTTCAAATCCATGAGGTGCTCCAGGGGAAAAGATAGGCAATGTCCTCCTATGCAAGTAAATGCCTCTGAAAACCCACCAAAGGGTTACCTATGGGTTGGTTCTGATTTGATGTTACACAACAGTAAGTAGAACAGGTGGATCAAACAGTATTTCCATTTTCAATTTTTAAAGGAAACAAGAGACTGTTTTCCACAGTGGTTATACCATTTTACATTCCCACCCAAGAGGAAGACTCATTAATAACCTTCATAATGCAGATG